AGGGGTCTGAACCAAATAGTTGATTAATTTGTTTAAACAAATGGATAAGCACTCATAACCTTGGTGATATAATGAGTGATGCTTTAACATCTTTAGAAGGGACGTGGTGGCGCTGCGGGTTAAACTGCAGAAAGCACTGTGCTACAAGGTCAGAAGACCAGCCGTTGTAAGATCGAATCCACGCGACGGAGTGAGCTCCCGTCACTTTTCCCAGCTCCTGCAACCCTAGCAGTTTGAAAGTATGTTAAAATGTGAGTAGATAAATAGATACCACATCGGTGGGAAGGTAATGACGTTCCGTGTCTAGTCGCGCTGGCCACGTGACCACGGAAACTGTCTATGGACAAACGCTGGCTCTATGGCTTGGAAACGGGGATGAGCACCACGTCCTAGAGTCAAACACGACTGAACTAAATGTCAAGGGGAACCTTTACCTTTATCTTAACATCTTTAAACAGAGAACTGAAAAATGTATATAGAAAGGAGAGAAGCAGGATGGTAGATGCATCCCTTACAGTATTAGTAATGTTTCCATGGAGACTATACAACAGTAAACTCTTAACATTTATACAGCACCATTTCACATAGCCTTGAGAATCAGAAATGATGGCATGGCCAAAAAAATAATAATATACAAACCCCAAGGACAAATATTGTGGTAGGAATGCTAAGTGAATAGAGAGCATCTGACCCAGGAATGCAAATGCTTTTAAAAAGATACCTGCTTGCTTCCCATGCAATCTCTATAAAGGCATTGCAGCTGAACAACCGCCGTGATCTAGGACAGCGATGGCGAACCTATGGCACATGTGCCACAGCTGGCACGCGGAACCCTGCCAGCACGCAAGTCATAGGTTGCCGGATCGCTACGCACCCCCCCCCCGCAGCCAAACCTGAGCAGGCAGCTGCAACAGCAGTGCTGGTGCCCGGACAGGTGGTGGGTCAGGATCAGGATCAGCTGGTACTGGTGACGGATCTGGAGTGGGGTCTCGAGGCACCTTTGTGCCGGGATTCCCCCCTCCGCTGCCATTTCTGGATCCGCTGCTGCGTCACACCACCCCGTTTTTCTTCTTCTTTTCCCCGTTTGGGCACGCGAGCCCAAAAAGGTTCTCCACCACTGACCTAGGAGAATACTAAAGAGCTGTTTGCTTGGAAAGGTTTGGTTGATATTGACAATGGGAAGGTGGGTGGCAAAAACTCCACTTCGGCTGGCCTCACACTGGCATCTCTTGTTGTCCCTCCTTCTTTGTTCTTGGCCTTTTAACTTTTTCTTTTGGTTTCAGTGAGGGGGAAAATACCTATGCCCGCTCGAGGGCCAGCAGTTTTTCTTCCCTTATTAGAGGCTCAGAAGACAGTCTGCAAATCACAGGCCATGCACTAAGACTTCAACATGCATGCCACACCAGAGCTTGGAAAATTCTTTTTTTCTCACTTATTGTTGGCTTGTTAGGTTCTGGAGCTGCACTCTGAAAAATATCTTTTCCCAATTCTGCATCTTACAACTGTCAGGGTAGCAATGAGGACTGCCATCAGGAGGCCTCTAGGAGGAGATCTGGAGGGTCACTTCATTCGACAGTTCTGGTTTTATCCTCTCCGGATGGTCAGGATTTCCACATAAATGCAAGATTTTATCAAAGCACAATAGCGAACAAGCACTTGTTGAGCTTCTGGCATCTAATACAAGAAACCAATCCCAAATGCTAAGGTCTGAGAAGGGAAAATCAGAGTGCTTGACTATGATGGTAGTCACAACCAATGTTTCTGTTAACATCTCAGTCTCATACTGGAGAATTTCAATATTTACTCTTATTTGTTCTGCAAGACGTTGTGTTCATGATACAGATTTGTACTGGAACAGAAATGTAATAGTTAAGCAACTACAATGCTCCAACTATATATGTGGAGCTAATTATTTCATAAGAGTTTTAAAGCTGTAGAACTACTGTCCCTATCTCTATTCCCACCCCCTTTTGAACTTGAAAAGCTGATTTTCTCTGTAATTCATTAGAGTAATATATGCAGCTATTATTTTTAATGTGACTATACAGATGATTTTGATCTACTTTTTAAAACACCTTCTCAAGGAAACTAGCTATGACGCCAAGCTCCTGGACACAGAAGAGCAGACTGAAAACTGTGCGAGTGCAGCAACATCTATCTTGTGTTGGAGCTACCACACTAAGGAATGGGGACTTTACTAGAAAACTATCAAATTCCTTTTTGGAGTTCTCTGTCTCCAAAAGTCCAGGGGCCCGCTCCTCCCAAGAAATACAGCCTCATTGCAGGCCATCAGCGTTAAGGAACTTCTTATCCTACTATCCAAAGTAGTTAAGACTATGATACCATCTCATAACTCAATACTTATAACAATTTAATACAATGCTTATATGCAATTTTAAGATTTTCAAAGCTTTGAAGTAACAAATAGGATACTACTTTTCATTAATATAATTGAAAATATATTTTCAGAGTACGAAGGGGTGCTGACAAGTATTGAGCCTTACCGAGAAAGAATTGAGTTAGAAAGCTGAAAATTGCAGGGTGCATTGGCCAATTTGTCTATATTCAATGGTGCTAAAATCAACTACCTATGATTTTAACTTACCTTTCATTTTCACCTCCAGAAAAGTTCAATGTGGAAGAGCATAGGACCATAATCAAGTTCCTGTTTCTCCAAGGGAAAGGTGCAAAGCAGATCCATGATGAAATGTCACAAACTATGGGTGACAGCGGCCCTTCATATGCAACAGTTAAATGTTGGGTTGTCAATTTTTAAATTGGCCATTTCGGTGTTGAAAGTGAGAAACCCAGTGAAAGGCCTGTTTCTGTCTCTGTGTCTGAAAATGTGAAAGTCATCCATGGCATAATCATAGAAGACTGCCGAATATCAGCCAAATGCATTGCTACATATCTGGGAATATCACGTGAGAGAGTTGGTGCCATTATCCACAATGACTTGGAAATAAGAAAGCTGGCAGCAAAGTAGATCCCCAAACTTTTGACAACCGAACAGAGGAAACATGTGGAGTTATCGGTGGCTGGTTTGGAACATTTTGAAGGAAATGAGTGAAGATTTCCCAGGGAAACTGGTAACTAGTGATGAAACATGGATCTACTGTTATGATCCTAAGGCCAAAAAAGTTCCAAGTGCAAAGGTTGGTGCAAAAGCAAATGGCAATAGTTATTTTTGGGATAAGAAGGGAGTTCTGCTGGTGGACTACCTGCTACAGGTTTCAACCATCAATGCAAAATATTACTGTGCTTTACTGACAAAACTGAGGCAAAACATCAAGGAAAAACTTAAGAGGAAAGCTCTCCAAAGGTGTCATCCTGTTGCATGACAATGCCTCATCACACACTGCAGGTGAAACAATGGCAAAACTGACGCCCTTAGGTTTTCAAGTGATGCCCCATCCACCCTATTTTCTCGACTTGGTTCCTTCTGACTACCATCTGGCTCCTTCTGACTATCAGCTTGGGGATACATCTGGCCCTGGCCCTTACCATGGAAACCCAGGTGGCATCCGTGGCCCGCTCCGCCTATTTTAGTCTATGGCGGATTGCCCAGCTGTGACCATATCTTGATGGGTGGGCCCTCACGACTCTTGTCCATGCGTTCGCAATCTCAAGATTAGACCACTGTAATGCGCTCTATGTGGGGCTGCCTTTGAGATTGATGCGGAAACTTCAAGTGGTGCAGAATGCGTCAGCCAGGCTTCTTAGTGGGGTGAGGAAGAATCAGCATATCTCCCCCACACTGCGATAACATTATAGTAAAAGAAATGTTTGCTATTTGTATTTATAGTAACTTGTTCATGTCAATCACAGTAATTCCTGTAAGATATGATTATCTTAATTGCTCTGGATGCAATGTGCCTACTACACCATCCTTTTAACCTCTGAAGCAAAAGCTGAAAGTGTACTGAATAGAATTAGTAGTTAAACTATATGGTAGCCCAGGCTGTGAAGAAACATTTGCTTCAGAGAAAGCATTAATTTGACAATCAGTACTTCAATTGCAGCAATTCATAATGATTTCTCTGTCCCAAATCATCTTTTCCTGAAGTATGTTAAAGTAGCAATTGGCAGAAACAATAGTAGGCATCCTTCAGTCTCAAGAGACTATGGTATCGTGCTCTGTATGGAGGTCTTGGAACAGTGTCTTGTGTGGCTGAGAAGGCCAATTCGAGAGTGACAATCCCTTCCACACTGGAGACAAATCCAATCTGTCCCCTGTCCAGCTCCCTGGTTTACTTCAATTGATTCATAATGATTTCTCTGTCCCAAATCATCTTTTCCTGAAGTGTGTTAAAGTAGCAATTGGCAGAAACACAATGCTAATTAAAACATAAAAGAAACAGTCCAAGAATTTGATTTGATTGTGTGCAAATGTTGTGAGTTGCTATAATGCAGCCACTCAAGCTCTTTCATGAGGCTATCAATATTCAAACAGAGCTGTTTTTGTGATGAGCTGGCCACACTCAGCTCACATATCTTACAAAGCCATCACTCAATACATTTATTTAAAGAGCATTTAGTTTATTTTCTGCTATGACTTAATTGTCTCCAAATAACATTGAAAAATCCTCAAGGGAGGAATACGCACAATGACTGTGTTGAAGCAGATGTGAACAATCCTGGGGGACTTAAACAAAAATAAACCATCTAAGCAAAAAAGAATTTAACTAAATACCCTCAAAAGGCATTTCCTTTATTTGTTTAAAAATTCCAACTGAACAAGCCCCCCCCCATTCTGACAGACTCATTTGCAGCCGTAGACGTTGGCAGAAACAACGTAGAAATTGGCAGAAACACAATGCTAATTAAAGCATAAAAGAAACAGTCCAAGAAGTTGATTTGATTGTGTGCAAATGTTGTGAGTTGCTATAATGCAGCCACTCAAGCTCTTTCATGAGGCTATCAATATTCAAACAGAGCTGTTTTTGTGATGAGCTGGCCACACTCAGCTCACATATCTTACAAAGCCATCACTCAATACATTTATTTAAAGAGCATTTAGTTTATTTTCTGCTATGACTTAATTGTCTCCAAATAACATTGAAAAATCCTCAAGGGAGGAATACGCACAATGACTGTGTTGAAGCAGATGTGAACAATCCTGGGGGACTTAAACAAAAATAAACCATCTAAGCAAAAAAGAATTTAACTAAATACCCTCAAAAGGCATTTCCTTTATTTGTTTAAAAATTCCAACTGAACAAGCCCCCCCCATTCTGACAGACTCATTTGCAGCTGCAGACTAACAAGAATGAACAGAACTACAATACAAAACTTTCACTACAGAATGCTGTACACATCTGTTGTCCAAACCCTCCCTCAAAATCCCCTTAACCATACTGTCTCATCATTTGCTTGCTTGCTGAGCTTGTCTGCGGAGAAGGACATAGATCTTCTCCTTTATCCAGTCTTTATTGTAGGGCTGGTATGTCTGAGTATCAGCACGATAACTGTTGAAGAAAGGAAAAGGCCAATTAATATATCGTAATCTTTCCATTGTGCAGCTTCAAAACAATTTTACAGAACCAATAAATCTCAACAATGTGGTGTAGAGGCAAAAATACAAGTTTCAAAACCGATGAATGCTGGACCTATGCATGCCAGGAATCAGACTACAACAAAGAGATAATCTCATTATTAATAGGATATTCTTATTAGCTGGGGTTTCCTTACTCTCTCACTGTAAGCTACTTCCTGAGCTGACCTTTGCCTTGCATAGACAAAAATGCTACCCACCCACACACTCAGTTTACTGTATTGTGATCTCTGGGGATATTATAACATGTGAAGATAAAACAAGGCCAACAGGTCAGCAAAGCTGCAGTCTCGTTTTTAAAACCATCAGATTTTTGGAAGGTATCTTCTCTGGGGTCCCATGTTCCTTCCAAACCACATAAAAAGACTACTGACAATTGCAGAAGTGGGTGGTGATATCTACAAACAGACAAGTCAATGTGCTTCTGGCAGCAATTATGAGTACTGTATTAGTAAGTGCTCAATTTCAGGGGCATAAAAAACACACCGTGGGTAGGGTCCTAAATGCAGTTATTGTGTGCTTGTCAAATAATAAATGCACAATGTTTATCCTTCAAGACATTATTAATAAAGTTTCAACCAAAATTAAACTTGAATCCATATTGCCTCTACATCTCATTATAATAAAAGATCTAAAAACAGCAAACACGCTACTCTTTAGATTTCTAACTGTTCTGAACTCAGTCGTACCCAAGCAATGTGTCTGTGTGATTAATGTATATTTGGCAACAGGCAATGGAAGGGGGCAGTACCAAAACCATCAATTAAATATCTTCAGCCATAAAGGAAACAAAACAGATATGCTTGAAGTATGCCCTCTGGTGGCTTGCTAAAATATTAACACAATCTGAATACTAAGGGCTTCTAAAATAATACATGTACACACACAAAATGCTAGAAAGGATATGGGACTACCATGTTTACTGGTTTCTTGCCCTTCTTGGTTCATAACACCAGCACTGGCAGTGGGAGGTAGAAGGAAATGGCCAGCTACATTCGAGGAGTAAGTTGTACTTCACTACGAAGGGAAGGGGTTCTGACTAGAGAATACGAATGTCCCCATCCCAGGTGCACCCTCGGTACCGGCCCATCCACTGCCAGCTGGCCTCCCGCTTTTCTCCGCTGTCTCCCTGCTCTTCTGGCCACTCAGTAGCCATGTGGGAAAACTGGTCCTCCCATCCTCTGCCTGGCGTGGCCAGCTGAGACCGTGGAGCTACTTCCACAATTGGCAAGAAGAGCAGGAAGCTGGTGGTGCGGCAGTGCATGAGTGGACGGGCCGGTTTCAAGGGCCGGACCCGCATTAGGTGCACCTAGGATGGGGACATTCATTTACAAACAGAAATATCCCCCTCTCCAGTTCTGCCCTTTTTTTTTTGCAGTCATATGAATATTCCTTTAAAAATCTGCCCTGAATAAACAAGACTGCAATGACTGCTGGCCACCTACAACCTTCTTGGGGTGCTGCTGGTGAAGTCTGAGTGGCGGTGAGCCATCTTAGTACTGCAAGGGTAGGCAAATTGGTCCCTCCATATGCTCTGGACCACAACCCCATAAACCTAACCCAATGTAGCCACTGGTCAGAAAACTATGAGTGTTATACTTTAAAACATCTGAACAGCACCAAGTCACCAACCCGACATACTGTAATGGAAAAGACAATTTATCTACATCCATTCCAATCCAGAAATGGCACAGCAACTGAAACTTAGGTGGCAAATTATGTTTTTAGGAAACAGCTTCAGAAAGGACTGATTTTGTTGGTCCTTGTAAGCAAATGTGATTCCAGTGCTGCAGACATTGAAGAGAAAATTGGACAACCGTCTGCCAGATCTGCTTTGATTTGAATTCCTGTATTGAGCAGGGGTTGAACTAAATGGCATTATAGGCTCCTTCAAGCTCAATTATTCTATGATTCTGTGACCCCTGATATCAGCTAAGAGAGAATGGTTCCCAAGGAAGGATCCAACACTGGAATTCAGCAGCAGAATGGCACAATCCAACATAAACAAAAAAGGACTATTCACCTTCTGCAATGTAATCCACTGTATGTAGCCTCCCCAAACCACTCTGAAGCAACTGGGATATCATAAAGATGGTTTTTAACCAGCACAGAGGATGAAGTTGTGTCAGTGGGTATGTTCCATGTGTGAATTAAGTAGGGAATATAAATCCAATATCATCTGTATGGCTGATTACATTGCACAGGATTCTGTCTTGTTCTCTGATGAAGTTGTGTTCCATGGATATGTTCCATGTGTGAATTAAATAGGGAATATAAGTCCAATATCATCTGTATGGCTGGTTACATTGCACAGGATTCTGTCTTGTTCTCCGAAGTATTTAAATAGAGTAAGATATCAGCTGCTGAAAACAACATCTATTTCTCCTTTAATTGAGTAAGACATGAGTAGAGATGTGGGTTCAGTAAAGCCTATTTTCATCCATCCATGCACACAAATAACTTATGGTCTGACTTATCAACCTCAGCCAGGTTTAGCCATGCCAACTCTAGGCTGCATTGTACTCCCCCTTAATGAGCAGATCTGCAGTTTCAGGATATTATCAGATCCTACTTTTACAACAGATGCTCATGGGTGGGTGGGGTGCACGCTCAAGCATGCGTGGGTGGTTGGGATGAGCTTGTGGATGGGCGGGGCATGCTCTCATGGATGAGGGGAGTGCATGCAGCGGGTACAGGAGATCTGACTCCGCCGCCCAATCCTGCCAAGGCCACGGACTGGCACTCGGCCGTGGACCAGGGGTTGGGGACCCATTTTAGATGTTTTTGTAAACTACCTATGGTCCCTTTATTGGGAGAAAGGCAGGGTTTAAATAAGTGAATGCTCATGCAATACGCATGGCGCAGAGTTGTTTTCATGAGATCAAATTAGTGAACCATCTGTCATGCTTGCTCAAGCTATTCATACCCCTGCTCTGCTGCATCATCCGGGTTACATTTCTATAACTACCATGTTTCCCCAAAAATAAGACAGGGTCTTATTTAAATTTTTGATCCACAAAACACAGTAGGGCTTATTTTCAGGGGATGTTTTATTTTTTTCCATGTACAACAATCTACATTTATTCAAACAGAGTCGTGTCATCTTCTGGTTGCTGCACAATGGTGGAGGGCGGGGTTTCACTTAACTAGGGCTTATTTTTGTGATAGGGCTTATATTACTAGGCCTTATTTTCAGGGAAACAGGCTAGTTATGCATACGGCTATCTTTGAAGATACAGTGGTGCCTCGCTTTATGATTGCCCCGCATTACGACGAAACCGCATTACGACGATCTTTTTGCGATCACAAAATGGGTTTTTTTCCGCTGTGATGATTGGTTCCCTGCTTCGGGAACCGATGCTTCATAAAACGATGATTTTCCTCCAGCTGATCGGCTGTTTCAAAATGGCCACCGGGTAAATAAAATGGCTCCCTGCTGTGTTTAGGGACAGATTCCTCGCAAGACAACCACCAAAAATGGCCGCCCTATGGAGGATCTTCGCTGGACGGCAAGTTTCCAGCCCACTGAAACGCACTGAAGGGGTTTCAATGCGTTTCAATGGGCTTTTTATTTTCGCATTACAACGTTTTCATTCTACAGCGATTTCGCTGGGACGAATTAACATCGTAATACAAGGCACCACTGTAGTTTGGAAATTTTAATTGGTATAGAACATGACAATGAGATTACAAAATTCATATTTGCATTATTTTGGTGAATGTTCAGATGTTGGTCTTCATTTTCAAAAACTTGAACAGCTCACAAGGAGAGCATATAAAGGAACACTTTTGCTATAACTGTGTTCAAAACCTAAGATCGACTCCAGAGTTGTTTCTCCATCCCAAATGACCAGGAAGGCAATAACAAGGTAACTTCTCTAATGTTGGTATGTTTCCATTCTGAAATCAAGATCTTTTTGTCCCAAGGATTCTATTCACGGGCTTTACTGCTCCCATCTGTTCTAACACTCTCAAATATATTTTAACAATTTTAAGCAGCCTGTTTTGCATTACTGTTTCTTCAGTGAGCTCTTTTAAGTATTTTAAAATAGAAAAGCAATTTAAAAATGTTTAAGAAAATGTTTTCCACCCAGTGAAGCATATTACTAGTGAATTACAGTAGTACAAATACAGGTTCTAAATACAGTATAGATTTACAGATTTAAATACAAACCCACTTATTTCTCTTAGTATTTCATATTGTTTCTTTCAAGTTAATGTGGAAATTTATTTATTTTATTGATGTATTTATTTATTTTATATCCCGCCTATCTGGTCGGTTAAGACCACTCTAGGCGGCTAAGTTCACAGTGACTGACACTGCCAGTGCAAGCCATTAAACATTTGTTTCTTTGTTTTGTATGAGAAGGGAAGACAGGACCCAAGCCAGCTACAAATTCCTTCACTGAAATGTTCTGAGACACTGCAACTACTGCCATCCATGTTTTTCTCTTCACCAAATGTCAACCATACAAACAATAAAAAACCAAAAAATTACCAACAATCTTTGCAAAAGATTGGAGCAACAGCCTACATCATCATCACAACAACGGGTATTTAGCAGATACTTAGATATTTAAGATATACTTTGTTTTTTTTTTATTAAAAATTGTATCTGTTATATAACACCAGTTAATGTTTTGATAATTTTGATTGACTGTGCCTGGAGTTTCTGAACAACAATAAAATGTGCCATCAAATCAATTCTGACTTATGGTGCTCTTTGATACTTTGGTTTTTTGGTTAAAAATTGTATCTGTTATATAACACCAGTTAATGTTTTGATAATTTTGACTGTGCCTGGAGTTTCTGAATAACAATAAAATGTGCCATCAAATCAATTCTGACTTATGGTGCTCTTTTTCAGGGTTTTTCAGGTAGAGAATAGAAGTGGTTTACCATTCTTTTCTTCTTGAGGCATCCTGAGACTGTAGTTTGCCCAAGGCTACACAGGATGGCTCTACTCACAGGAGGCACAGAGGGGAATCAAACTCCCAACCTCGGGCTCCACAGCCAGATACCTAAACCACTCAGCTATCCAGCCAGCCCACCTAGTAATAACACAGTTGATTTACATTGCTACAGTTTTATTCCCAAGAAGACATACAAATATATTTATGTAATCAGACCCACATGTAATAAATATATTGGCACAGAGCCTTTTTTTTATGATAATGCAGCTTTCTACTGTATTTTATTTCTTCAGGCACGGAATTCATAGACCAGCTTATATTGCCATATTCCAAATGATTTTATTTATAAATAGCTTTTAATTTTCTCACAAATAATGTGAACATTCCATCTAGCTTTTAAAAATATGGCCTAATCCAAATGTATAATCAAATACAGACCTTTGGCTCCCAGAAGTTTTCTAATTCAATAAAAACTAGTTCAAACAAATACATAATTTTGCCAAACCTGTAGTACTTTGGATGTCAAGAATTTTATGTGAAATGAAGCTCCCACAGTGCTTTGTTCATCACTTCAATACTGGCTTTAGATTATTTTGAGATTGAAAAAAAATATGTTATATTCCAAATAACTATAGAATACTCACACAAGGCAGCTGATTCATCACTTCAAGTACTGGCTTTAGATTATTTTGAGATTGAAAAAATATGTTATATTCCAAATAAAATTTGCCACAGAGTATATTTATCACACACAAACGCCAATAGTCATACATAGCTGCTAACAGAACAGGGATTGTGTTGAGCAACACTTAAAAACCCCACAGCACACAGGTAAACTTTAATTGTGCTTAACCCAATAATGATACCTTTATATAAACTATAGAATACTCACACAAGGCAGCTGTATGTTATATTCCAAATAAAATTTGCCACAGAGTATATTTATCACACACAAACGCCAATAGTCATACATAGCTGCTAACAGAACAGGGATTGTGTTGAGCAACACTTAAAAACCCCACAGCACACAGGTAAACTTTAATTGTGCTTAACCCAATAATGATACCTTTATATAAACTATAGAATACTCACACAAGGCAGCTGAGGTCAGCCAAATCATCAATAAAATCAAATAATTGGCTAATATCATAAGTGATTGAAGGACTGTTGGGATTCATTCTTTTCAGGTGCTCTTCGTACATTTTACAGACTCCTAAGAAGAAAGGGTGATTTTTAGTATTTACATTAGAAACCCACAGGACCCCAGATCAGAGCATCCTTCAAGTATCCAGAAATATACAAATAAAGAATCAGTATGGAAGTGGACAGAGGCTACAAAATCAGTTAAAAGGCAGCAGATTCAGAAAAGGTACAAGTATATAATTCTATATAAGTAATAAAGCAAAAACTGAACCAGATGAAGAGATTTTAGATTCTTAGCTTTTGAATTTTTCTATAAATACTAACATAATTAATTCCCTTCAGCAGATTGTCAATTGTATGAAATTACCACTACATTTATCTAATAAAACTGGTAGGCTTTCACACGCATTTCACAACTGGTTTCCCTCCTATATCTGACTGAAGGTGTTTTACTGTAACAGAAATTTCTCATACAGTATACATTGCTCCCAGGGACAGCAGCATACAGGATCAAGTATAAACAGTGTTCAAATACATGTGGTCAGTCATTTTCTATCCCCAAATTACAAGTGTAGATGTGCAAGAATCCAAGCCTTGGCAGATGACCTGCGCCAGGAAATGGTTAGGGGATCTGTGTCCCTGTTGGTTTTGTTGGACTTCTCAGTGGCTTTCAACACTATCAACGCTCCCAGGGACAGCAGCTTACAGGATCAAGTATAAACAGTGTTCAAATACATGTGGTCAGTCATTTTCTATCTCCAAATTACAAGTGTAGATGTGCAAGAATCCAAGCCTTGGCAGATGACCTGCGCCAGGAAATGGTTAGGGGATCTGTGTCCCTGTTGGTTTTGTTGGACTTCTCAGTGGCTTTCAACACTATCAACCACCGTATCCTCCTGACCTGTCTCTCTGGAATGGGACTTGGGGGCACTGTTTTAGGCTCCAGCCCTTCCTGGAGGAGAGAACTCAGAAGGTGGTGCTGGTGGATTCATGTTTGACACCCTGGCAGCTGTGGGACCCCTTAGGTTCTCTTTTATCTCCTATATTATTTAACATCTACATGAAATCAGTGGGAGAGATTATAAAGAGTTTGGCGGTTGTCTGTAACCAGTATGCAGATGACACCCAACTCTACACACCTCTCCTTGCCACCTAAATCCAAGGAAGCTGTTTCAGCTCTAAATCAGTGTTTGGTATCAGTAATGAAATGGATGAGGGTGAATAAATTGAAGCTTTATCCAGACAAGGCAGAGATGCTTCTGTCAGTCGAAAGACAAATCAAGGAATAAGGATGCAGCCTATACTGAATGGGCTACATTCCCATTAAAAAACAGGTGCATAGCTTGGGGGTGCACATGGATTCATCCCTGAGCCTGGATGCATTTGCACAATTGAAACTAGTGCGACAGCTATGCCCGTTTCTTGAGAACTCTGATCTGACCATTGTGACAGACACCCTAGTTACTTCCCAGCTAGATTACTGTAATGATGTTACTGTAACACACACTATGTTGGGCTGTTGATGGAAAGTGTCTGGAAACTTAGTGGGTCTAAAATGCAGCAGCCAGATTGTTGACTGGGGCTGGTTACAGGGATCACATAATCCCACTGTTACACAGGTCCACTGGGTGCTGATCAGTTTCTGGGCACAATTCAAAGTACTGATTTTAATCTATAAAGCCCTAAATGACCTGGGTCTAAACTATCTCAAAGACCGTATCTCCCATCATGAGCCTGCTCCAGTGTTAAGGAGAGGAGAGGCCTTTCTCTTGTTCCACCACCTTCACGGGTGCGTCTGATGGAGACACAAGAGAGCCGCCTTTGTTGCTGCTCCCAGACTTTGGAACAGGAGGCCACACTGGCCCCATCTTTGCTGATCTTTGCAAGCAGGCAAAGACTTTTCGTTCAGGCAACGCTTCCCTCAGTAACTAGCTATCTGTGCGTGATATTTAGATGGATTGGGTTACTGCATTGACTGGATTTATAATACTACTTGGGTTTTCCATTTCTCAGAGTGGCATTTTTTAAAAATTGTATACTTATTGTTCTAAGCTTTAATATTACCTTTTAATGGTGTCTTTATATTCACTGTACTTAGCTTTAAATATTGGCTTCTAATGAGGTTAACCACCATTTGTATACCCATCATTTTCAACTTTAAATACTTTTAATGTTGTGTGCCACCTTGGGTTCTTTTCAAGGAGAAAGGCAAGATAAAATATTTTAAATAAATAAATAATATTTCCATCCAGTGACTAATTGAACTGAACAAACCTAAGGGCAAAATTGTCCATTAATTCTTACTTAAAGCCAAATAATCTGAAATATTCCCATGTGCAGCAGGAGCATTTACCTTCCATGCATTCATTCACAGATTCATAATCGGCATAAGTCCTGCCTTCTGGTCGTTTGGTAGGCTGGACAAGCAAAATTGTGTGAGACTGTTAAAAAAACACAGAAAATATTTATTCAGACTTTGAAGCAATTTTCCAACAAATGGAAAGCAATTTTCCAACAAGTACTGCAGAAGTGTGATGATCAGCAGATACAAAAAAAGTATCTATCAGTCCCAAATCTTTCGGTCTTACCATTATATTTATATTCAAAAACTAGGACACAATGTTCAAACTTTGTTAAAAATATTATAGCGCGTAAAATCAATATTGTTATGTCGTTTTTGGAACAATAGTCTCCTGAAAAGATTGAAGATATTATAGTTAGTATTCCCCTTATCAGTATTTAAATAAAAATATTTTTTTAATCTGTTGGTTGATCTGTAGACTTGAATATGAACGGAATTTTAAACCAGTTTGATCATTCACATATTAAACCATTTGGGGAAAAGGAACTGTAACATTTAGACAAGATGGCTGCAATCATGGACAAAAAATGTGCGTGTTTGTAATCTTTCCTACAGCAGTTCAACAAATAAGAAAGCAAGATCTGGGCCCTGAAAAGTATAAGAAAACCCAGAAAAAAGCAAGTTATTGGATGAGCTTGAATAGCAAGACAAGAAACTACAAGTAGAATTATGTTCTGTTACTTTGTGTAGGTATAACCTGGATTGGGCAGCAGCAGGATTTAAAGTAATTAAAAGCTTCCTATCTCCACTCTTTTAAGTTCCAAGATTTCCTAAGGCTTCCCTGTTGGCCTTGAGGAGACAATGAGAGCCTTGGGATAGGGGAAGCCTTTAATAGCCAAAATCACCACCACTGGGACCTTCAGCATCATTTTTTTAACTATTAAAGGCTCCCCCATACATACATGCTGACACTCCCAAAGGTTTCTCCAAGCAAAAGGGAGCCAATGAAGCATTGGAACTGAAAGAAACGAGGACAAAAACCAGAAAACTTTAAATGTTTGATGCAGCTGATGAAGGTTACAGTGTGCAAAATTACACCAACAGCATTTTGCCCTGCATGGTATAGATAATGTCACTTGCAAAGAACAGGGCTACGATGGGACATGTCCCATCTTCATTTGTAAAAAGACAAGTGTCTACTTTTGAGGAAAAATGCAGTATTAATAGTGAAGCACAGCATAAACTAAAAAGCTAAAACCACATCCTATTTAAAATAGTATCTAGTGTCACAGTCTAAGCATATTTTGATGTGCAGATTTTTAGTAAAACTAATCATGAACTTTAAAATACAAACACGCAAGAAAGCACAAGCATCAGACAGGTACATTTGTCTTAAAGCAAACAGAACGGATGTTTAACATGCAGGTTAGTGTCAAATATCTATTTTCATTGCAGCTTACTGTCAGCTAAGTGTGCACACAATTACAACACAAGTGTGTCTCTGCTACCAAGACAAAGTTGAAAATTATATTTTCTTGAGTATCATACAATCTGCACATGCATTTTTATCTTACACCTATCTGCCACCAGCTTTAAAATCAAGTCTTTAAAAGGAGTAAGCAAACAACCTTTCAAGGGTAGTGGTGAATTAAAGAGGGTAGCAGGAGAGAAACACTTCCCAAACTTTTTCTCTTCATATTTTTCAGAGAGCAAAATGAAAAGTATAGTGGTGCCTCGCTTAACGAGCGCTTCATTTAACGATGAATTTGCTTAGCGATGACTTTTTCCGAGCATTTTTGTGCTCCGTTTCACAATGTTTCCTATGGCCAATTTTTGCTTAGCGATTTCGGGACCATGCTTCGCATAACAATTAGGTTTTTTGGTCCCATTTCACTTAACGATGGTTTAAACAGCCTCATGTTTGCTGTTTTTTAAATGTTAAAAAGTTAAAGTTTACTGTGTAAAATGTTTGAAATCATAAAGTGCACTTAATACAGTGGGGACTTGACTTACGAACAGCCCGTTACGAACATTTTGACTTACGAACCACTCTCATAGAATATTGACTTGAGTTACGTACTTAGATTTGAGTTACGAACTGAAAAAAAACCATGTGGGAGGCAGGAAAAGTGCAAAATTTGAACTTTCAGTTAACTGTTGGCCAGTGAAAAGGGTGCCTGTCTGCTTCCTCACTCCTCCCAGCGTTTAGAGTGGATTGGGAGACAGTCTTCAGACTGCCTGGTCCTGTACTGCCTGGACTGTATTTTCCCTGCCTTCCCTGAACCTTTCTTGACCTAAGAAAAAAGAAACAAAATATCCCCCTCTAGTGGTCGAAGGCGGAATAGCAGCTTCCCATTAGTTTCTATGGACGGAAAAGAGCAGATACAGATCAAATGGTTTTCAATGCATTTCAAATGGGGAAACGTGTTTCGCTCAGCGATGTTTCCTATGGCGATTTTCGCTCAAGGACGGCAATCCATTCCTATTGGAACGGATTGTCCGGTTTTCAATGCATTTCAATGGGAAACCGCGTTTCGCTTAGCGATGTTTTCCTATAGCGATTTTTTTTGGAACCAATTAAAATCGTTAAGCGAGGCACCACTGTACATAAATTCAAAAAGCTCTTATGAAATACCGTAACTTATGTTTTAGAATTATTGAAATTAAAGAAATGTTTTTGTCAAATTAAGTAACAAAACTTTTATGTCAACATAAGTTCTGGTGCTTAGATATATTTCCTGCAAAAATTCAATACTTTCCATTAGCTACAAATTCTTAATATTGTGACAAGATGACTAACTCCACCAAAGTGATATACTATTTTTACAGTATTTACCGTAAGATTTAGGCTCTTTAAAAAAAAAGAAACTCTTTGGTGTGTTTCTATTGCCCAAACTACAAAAATAGATGTGCTTAGGTAACACAAGGTTTCGACTTTATTCTGTTATTGGATCTATTCGCAATTTCTCTTGGGCAGAACGAGCAAAGGAGACCAGAGTAGTTCAGAGAGAAGAGACAGTTCCATCATGACATCCCAAAACCTGTGGCGGTGGGGGGGGGAGGCTCTTCGCAAAGACCTTACCCGATGCCCCTGGGCGGGAAAGGGGAACAGGAAAAAAAAAAGAGAGGTGCAGATATTTCGATTTTCCAAAGAAGTTACAGAAGCTTCCAGATACTTGGGAGCCTCTCGGCGCAGGAAGGCCGGCGAGCGACGATCCCACCCTCCCAGCCCGCCATCACCACCTTAGGCCCCAAAGGGCAAGGCCAAAGGAAAGCAGGCGGCCGCATGGAGTGCCTCGCCCGCCTCCAAGCACGCGTGGCCGACCTCTTCCGCCTCATCCCAAACGAAAAGAAAATGGCAAGCGGTTTCCTCTTTTTAACTTACCATGGCGATTCGTTCTCTTCGGCTCAGGCGCGAAGCACAAATTCCCAACGACTTCTGTCCCACAATGCACCGCGACCACCGGAAACCCGACGCCTCTCTGAACCTAGCAAGCTGTTAACCCACCACCTTCGTAGCACCATAGAGAGTCAACCCCTCCCCTCGCCTGCTCCGGATAATAGAGCGGCCACATCATCTCGCGAGACCTGAGTTAGACGCCCCTCCCTCCTTCTATACGGGAGGAGAGAATTCATTGGCCGCGCTATGGCGGCCATCTTTCATGAGGGCAGCCTCGTTCTGCGGCAAGTAGAACCTCTTGGCCTCCTATTCCCAGCAAAACTCCGTGGATCCTGTTAAGGAGCGTCTCCTTCCCTGTCCGCCATGTTAAAATTGAGCGGGAATGAAAAGGACAAGTAAAGTGACAGAAAGCTACTGAACCGCCTCTTTCCCACTGTCCCGGAAGTTGTGTGACGGAAGAGGAAGTGAGCGCCGAGTTGCCACTTGGCCTTTACCTTGGCGGCTGGGCGCGTCATGGCGGCGACGGGAGGTTGAGGGACAGGTGGCTTTTTTCCCCCCTCCCGCCTACGGGGTTTAGAGTTCCTCATTGGTTAAGTGTCGAAACTAGGTAACGGGAGCGTGTAGGGAGAGCGGCTCCCGTGAGGACTGAACTGTGGCGCCGAGGCGAGGCAGCCTCCTCTGAGGGTTCGCTGAGGGTCTCCTCGGAGCGAGTCGGGTGAACCTGCTCGAGTGGACGGGAGACTCGGCGGTGCCCCTTCGGGCGAAGCCGAAAGACGGTGTGGCCGCGGACTGTGAAGAAAAGCCAAGGAAAAGGCGGGTGCCCTCCCCCGCCCTCCTCCTCCTCCTCCCCGAAACCCGCTGTCCTGGGGCAGCTCCTTTTTGGCCCATGACGCTTCCTCCCCGTCTGGAGCCGCGGAGGCGATTCCCCTGGTGAATTTGGACGCCCGGGTGGGCAGCTGGCCCCAGAGGCAGGCACCGGCCATGGATGACTTCTTGTCTATCAGCTTGTTGTCTCTGGCTATGCTGGTGGGCTGCTACGTGGCAGGGATCATCCCTTTAGCCGTGAACTTTTCCGAGGTAAGAAGGCTCCCGCGCACCTCCCGCGCCTTCCCAAAGGGGCTTAAAAGAAGGAAGGAAAGTTTATTTTGGCCCGTGTGGGGGGGGGGAGGACCGGCGTTGTGCCTCTTACAGTTTTTAAGGGGGGGAGGAATGTTGAGGAGAGGTAATTTAATGTTGCGGAAATCCCAGAAAAGAAAAGAAGTCGAGGATAAATAAAAACGGATGCAAAATAGGCTGCATATTCTCCCTAGAGCTGTTCTATATCTTACCTTTCCTCTGCGGGGCAACGGGCCCTTCAGGAAAGATGAGGTGGCAAAAGCTGAAGATCTTTAAAAAACAATTTGTACAGGTTGTGCGCGCTTTGTGTCTTACTAGCATGTAACAGGAAGTTTTTTTATCTATTTAGTCTGCAAATTCCTTTATCAAATACAGTTTGTTTTTGTTTTGTTTGTAACGTGGTTCAATACCTGTAAAGTTTATTGAGCGGCTGACTTTAATTCCATTGAATTAAAAGGTGCTGAAGTGCTGTGCCACATCTGAAACATGGATATTTTATTTTATTATCTTTACATCCCAGCTTTCTACTGTGTAAAAGATGGTGCTCAAGGTGGCTTACAAACTTCTTAAAAGGGCAAAAACGTATAAGCTTTTAAACAGTTAGTTTAAAATCATATGACAAACTGCACAGTAAAACCATTAAAAGCAAATAAATGCATAGTTTAACATCAGTGCTAAAAATGGCAAGTTTTAACATCTTTTTTTGTCATAAATGACACATACGGTAGTATGTGCTTCTTCATACCTGTTGTCTCACATGTACAGTAATGGTTACGTGCAGTCAAGTCAATTTCTATTTAAGTTAATCCTTGCCTAGGTTTCCTGTGTAGAAAGTACTCATAAGTAGTTTATCAGGCCCTTCTGGTGATGCTTTGGGACTGTGTAGTTTAGCCGTATTTGGTGGAGAGTATTTAGGTTCCTTTGGGTTTTCTTTTCTGAAACAGCAACAAGCCACAAATGCTCTTTAGAATTATTTAAGTACAACAATAATTTGGGGGGGGGGGGCTGAAATATTTTCTTAAGGTTTACTTTGAGTGGAAAAACATTTACTTTGAGTGGAAAAGTGAATTGCTATTTGTATACTGATAAAAATATTATTGCACAGTTCTTGAACAAATAAGCTATCTGAAAAATGGTAGACTATTTAAGTAAAGGAAGTACTGAATGTCCCTGTATTAACCCTGTGGTTATATAATCCAGAAATGAGTATCACAGAGTTCACTATGCCATATTCTGTTGTAGGTATAGGATTACATGAATTCTTTCATAAGCACTGTATCTAATATGCAAATATTAAGACTGCTGTAGGACATAACTTTTTTCTGGAGGCAACATATGGCCAGAAGTATCAGGTGCTTTCACATCCAATGGATCTGAGAAACTGAATTTCCTTGTAATAGATAGATAAATGCATATGCCTCTATCAGTTGAATTAGGAGCTTCTCTTTTATGTGTTATGCAAAAGTATTCATTGCTTGCAAATTTAAAATTGGCCTAATGGTCATTATTGGGGCTGTGAATTCTTCCGCTTTGAAGTTGCTGTCGTGGTACAGTGGAATTAACAACTGTGGTGATGCATGAGGTATTTCAGTATTTTTACTAAGAGATATAAAATTAGTTTATAAAAAAGGAAAAGTTTATACTTTTTTTGTTCAAACACAAAAATAAGGATTTGTTTCAAAAGTTTAGAATGTAGTTATAACTCACTAAACTGGCAAATAAGAAGGCTCACCTTTCACATTAGCAAACATTAGTTGTTTACAGTTTAATGTGCTTATTGAATACATGCCACTACTATTTTTAATTGCATATAATATCTCCTTTTAATAATTAAAATACAATTTTTTTGGTGGCACACTGTCTGGGAAAAAAATTCCAGTCTGCTATTTCAGACAGATAGAGAGGCACTAAGATATTCTTAAGTAAAGTTTTACTGGCATAATGAACCTGTGAATATACAAGAGAAAAAAGTAAGATGCAACGTGGAAATCATGGTGATTTAAAGCAAACAGTTTGAATACAATTCAATACAATTTTTGTACTTTTGTCACATATTGATTAATGCAATTCAATACAATTTTTGTAGTTTTGTCACATATTCTGGTCCTTCAGCAATGTGCAAACATCTTCTCTGGTCAGAAATTTTTCCAGCATTCCTACATGTATCTGTATGCTGCAAAAGCTGACAAAATACTGTATTTGCCTGGATGATGTGGCTATTTATCCATAGCTTGCTAGGTAAAAGTGGTTTCTTTTGAATCACTGTCCTGTCTATTTAGGAAACATATTTCTATGTTAGTTGGTTGCAATAAAAACATCAATGTCTTGTGGTAACTTGATGACTAACAATTTTTATTTGGCTGCTTTTGTGGACTGGAGGCCATTATTTCAAATGTGAAGTCTGTCCATAATAGACCAATTGAGGCTGAGAAGTGGAATGAGTAAGCTACATTTCATGAACTCTTTGCTAAATAAAAGTTATTAGTCTTTAAGGTGCTACACGTGTTGCTAATATTTGTTGTTTGTTCATCAGATTATTCAGGGAAAGTGCTTTTCTAAATTTTCAAACAAACTTCTTTGTTGATAGGGAAACATTTCTGTAGGAAATTTCTAACACATGTGCACATACGACCCTGTCAAAGAAAAACCTTTTGGCAAAGGAATAGAAAACTCTCAGGATGGATGATTTTATCTGATTTAAAATTACTGATTTTAAAACAATTTTTAGGTAAATTTTATTGCTAGAGTAAAAACACATCAGTTGGCAACCAACAGTGCAATGCCAAGTTAGGCTCCCAATATGTGTGTGAGAGAGAGAGCTGTGAGTTCAATTCCCCACTGTATTTCCTGTAAGTTGAGCCAGCCTATGTGGCTTCCGGCAAGCTGCACAATCCCAGGGTGCCTTCAGAAGAATGGAATGGTAAAGCACTTCTGAGTACTTTGTACCTAGAAAGCCCTGAGCAGTTGGCATATGTCAGAATTGACCTGATGGCACACAGTATTAACCTCTGGAAGACCACAAGTCACCAAGCCTGAGATTTGAAAATTAGCCCTTTGAAGGCAAGTTAATGTGTAAGGAAATATGAGATATAAATATAAAATAAAATAGGATTGAATGTTCTAGATTCTAATACTTTGTTGATTTGCAAGTTCATGTATCAAATAGGAGGTCCCAGAAAATAAATACTGTATAGCATGATAATTATATCTGCACTCATTATTTCAGAAGTGAGATATTTTCCCAGTGAAAAACTCTCTTTAACTGTTTTTGTAGAGTGTACTATAAAGTAACCTATCTTGTCAAGTCAGATATCTCGGCTTGGAAGCTGCTGCATCCTGAAAAACCTAAAATGAGTGTTATTTTATCAGATAGTTAGTAGTGCAGATTTGTCACTTGTCTTGAGTTCAGCATTTGTGAAAGTATTTTCAGAGTTGGAATGTATCTGTTCAGGTCTGAGAGGCATGGACTATGTACACCATTCAAGCAGGTCAAGCGCGCTATATATACACACTGTATTTTTTGCTCCATAAGATGCACCTCTCCATAAGACACACTAAGAAAACAGGGGGGAAAATCTGTTTTTTTCTCCTAAAAATTGGTGAGCCTTATGGAGAGGTCCATCTTATGGAACACACCCTAGGGTCCTTCCCAAACCTCAAAAGAGTCCCAGAAGGTGGCGATTTCACCCTCTCCGACTCCTGGGGGGGCAGAGGGGGCAAAATCGGCAGCTTCCAGGACCTTTTCTGAGTATTTCAAGCATCACAAAAGGTCCTGGAAGGTGCCGATTTCGCCCGCGCTGGCCCCGTGTGTGTGTGGGAATGTCGCAAGGGTCTTGGAAGGCTCACTCGGACCCTTGCGACGCTCCCCCCACCCTCACACAGGGCCAGCGCGGGCGAAATTGCCAGCTTCCAGGACCTTTGTGAGGCTTGAAAGGCTCAGAAAAGGTCCTGGAAGCTGGCGATTTCTCCCGCGCTGGCCCCTTGGGAGGGTGGGGGAGTGTCACAAGGGTCCTGGAAGGCTCACTCGGACCCTTGGGAGGCTCCCCCCCACGGGGCCAGGGGGATGAAATCACCACCTTCACTCCATAAGACGCATAGACTTTCCACCCCACTTTTTTGGGGGGGAAAGTGCGTCTTATAGAGCGAAAAATACGGTATATATTCTCTGTTTAGGTTCATATACAGTATATGAACCTATACAGAGAATTAATTCACTGGCACTCCAAGCTAGAAATTAATATCTTCTGTTCTCTCATATATATTTTCTAGGTAAAAATATATTTTAATTAATTAATTTCTAGCTTGGAGTGCCACTGAATTCTCTATATAGGTTCATATACTGTAATCTGATGTCTATCTTCTGTTTAACGTCAAAAGATGTATAGTTTTTAAAGTCGTGAGCAACGTACCCTCTAATTTTCAGTCCTCCTGGGCAGGACTCCACCTCTGTCATGCACAACTTCTCCTTTGCGTGCATATACAACTCCGTCCCCCACCCCCCTCAGGGTTCCATTGTGACCAGAACCAAATGGGCTGCGTGGAGGCAGAAAACTGTATGGAGGGAGGAGGAATCACTCATGCAGCTGTGCACTTTAGAGGGATTGTTGATTTTGAGGTATGAGTTTTTCAGCACAGCACTAACTAGAGTTAGCTTGAGTGTCACTGCCGTTGTCTGAAAGGTCCTCTGCCAGTGCCACCTTCTCACTGCTTCCCTTCAAGAATTTCTCTGACCCATCACCATTGGAAGCAGATTCATTTGGTGTCTTAGTATTGACCATTCCTCTTTGGGTGACACTACTAGGATACCAAACCCCTGACAAATCTGACTTCTTGTTGGTATTGCTCTCAGCTTCCCTGACACACTGATACCACCTCATTTAAGATGTGCATCCTAGACTGGCTGGTGTCAAAATAAGCCTTTGCTCCCCTCCCTTGGTTCCAAATCTTTGCTCAGATTGCTGGTCAAAAATTATTACTTCCAATATTGTTGATTTAATCTTTGTATTATTTCAGTAAACAAAGTTTATCAAAATATTAGTGTTTGTGACAGGATGTTGGTTCTGTGAAATACTAACTATTCTGAATTTTGCTTGTAGGAAAGGTTAAAACTGGTCACAGTTCTCGGTGCTGGGCTCCTTTGTGGAACTGCCTTGGCTGTCATTGTGCCTGAAGGGGTACATGCACTTTATGAAGATGTTTTGGAGGGTAAGCAAACAAAAATATTTTTCTGGTGTGTTGTTCACACTTGAAGTACAGGCTACTATGAAACAGATTCTTAATGTTTGTTTGTACAGTAGTTACTTCAAGTTATGTTTTACTCTAGATTGCAAGCAATTTTGAATTCTGGTTCTTGACAGAACACTCTGAATTTTGTATCCACAGTATAGTAAAAAATCCACAGTGGTTCAAAGACTGCCTCCAAGATCAAAAGAAGCAAATGGCTTTCAATAGCAATCTGTGATATGCCATGGGATTCAAAGATAATGGACAAATCCTTTTGCTCATTGTAGTAAAATGTACTAGAGCAGGTCCATTGAATCAATGGTGATGTGAGCATGCTAGGTAGCCAGCATGCTCACAGCAAGCTGTTCGGCCCCTTTAAGGTGGCTGAGAGACTCAGCCTGGGGAAAAGACTAAAACTAGAGATAGGGGTGTTCGTCTACGAATATCCCTGCACAAGTGGAAATAACGAGGGTCTGGTCCCATGGGGCCAGACTGTCCACTGAGACTTTCTATTGCGCTGGATTAGCTACTCTGTTACCTGGCAGGAGTGGGTAATCGATTGCAGACAGTAGTGCAAGAGGAAGCCTCTGTGGAGCCAGTGGCAGCGGTGAAATCACCTTGTTATTTCCACATGTGGGGGGGATATTCGAATACGAATACCCCCATCTCTAAGACACAGGGAAAGAGAGAGAGAAGACAACTGGGAAAGATGCAGCAGCCTAATAAGAAACACCTGCCAGAGGCCAGATAAAAGTGAGTAGAGACAGGGGTTTAGGAGGTTGCTGGTTGACAGAAGAGGAGGAGAAACAAGAAGGGACCTGGATTGATGCCCTGGAGGAGCTGATGTTCCTCCATCTAAAGGATCACTGCTGACTCATCATGGAGCCTCCCCCGAGTCATCAGTCTGGACAAGGCAAGGACCAGGGGGAAGGGCTGGGCAGCCAGCATTTATAGCAAGGACAAGACAAACTGTCTCTGAGCCGGGCAAAGTCTCTTGTTGATGGACCTGAACTATGGGGATTCTCAGTGAAGTTAACTGAGGATCCCTCTGAGGGAGAGGGTGCCCAAGGATTCGTGTAGCTGTAGTACTACTGTAAATAAAGCACCCATATGGTTAAACCCCGGAGTTGAGCCCAGTTTGTGCCAAGGGAACACAGCTGTCACCAGCTACATTGTGTTGGAGCCTGGCTAGGCCCATAGGATTTAGTGAGTAAGCTCTTCTGTAAATTCTATTCATTCAAATGTCCCTGCTCTAGTGTGAATTACTACTCTAGGCAACAGAATTTTGGCCAATGTATTTTAAAAATCTGTACAATTCTTTTTTGGACTTTTATTCCATCTGTCTTCCAAACATTGTCCTCCTAGCAGAACTGTGAAGTATATTCTTCTGAGGGGAAGCCTGTGACTGGCTGAGGTCTTCTACTTGTTATCTCAGCTATGTGAGGATTTGAACTTGAATTCACTGTTTTAAGTCTGTCAGTCTTTATACTGATTGCACTGGTGTAAGCTTCCTGTGTAGGTCTGAGCAGCATGATAAATCCAGACTGATGCATGTAATAAATTCTGTGAAGTGACTTCATATAAGTCACAGTCTTATGAGATTGTATTGTGTAAGTGCCAGAATTAATATAGGAGAAAACTTGGCATCCTTTAGGATTTCCTGCCATTGGGTTTGTGCTTGAAAATATTTTGGAAGCAGCTGAAATGATTTTGTAATTATGCTTCTGGAAAGAGTCATTTAGAAATGGTTCTGAAGAGGCTGAACTGTTTCTTAACTGACAAGGCAGCCGTATATTCCTAACTCCTCATCCTGTTTTCTGGCCATCATCATCATCATCATCATCATCATCATCATCATCATCATCATCATCAATAAATTAATAAGAATAATAAGAATAATAAGAATAATAAGAATAATAAGAATAAGAATACACTTGTGAGAGTGACTAACAAGTATTTAGGCAAAAAGTTTCAGCTTCTTCAGTTGGTTAACAGCAATTGAAGAAGGTGGAAATTGAAACTTGCGTAGTTATTTCTTTTTGTTAGTCGTTCTTATAATTTTGTGTGTGTATATATACAGTGTACGCATAGGGGTGTGTGTGTATAAGAGTGAATAACATCTTAATGATTTTTAAAAATTTTTGATTTTTTAAATTTAAATCATGATTTAAATCAGTTTTACTTAAGTCAAATCCACCCTGATGTGTTAGTGATTAACTGCATCCCTCAGACAGAGCCAGAAAAACTTTGATTGAAATGCTGTTTAGTTTGCATCTGGAATAACATGTTGATTATGGAATCCACATTTCTGTGATACCAAATTTGACTTGGTACAATAGGCAAGCTGCACAATCCCAGGATTGTTTATAGAAAGCAGTTTTTAGTATCTTTTGGGTAAAAGTGAGTTATGAAGTTACATTGGAATAGCATTCTTTGGTTTGTATTACAATGATAGGATTAACAAAGGGAGATAGCTGCAGTTACTTAGATTTTTTTTGTTTGCCATGTTACTATATAGCCTAATTGAGAATCATTTATGAATTTTTCTCTCTCTTAAATTGGTATTGTATTCTAATAAACTTTCAGCATTGAATTTGCATGGGGAGTTTTAAATTTTTATCTGGAAACAGAACATAACTGAGTTGAACAGGTTGCTTTTTGGGGTTTTGGTAGTTACTGAAAACTTCAATGTGGATAGGATCTAAGACAGAATGTAATACCTGGAGAAAGTTTCTGCCTCAGAATTTGTGTAGCCCTCATGAATAGAAAAGTGGCAGAAAAAACTCCAGAATCCTAGTTATCTGAACACTTTAAAAATGGTCACATGTTCCATAGTAGAACTGTTGCTATGGCTTGCCAGCTGAGAGATAGTCCTGTCTGAACTGTAATGATCTGATGATAATAGGAAGTTAGTAGGAGAGTCTCTGTATGCTTCTTTAAAGACACTGTTGATAAACCATTAGCTTACTTCAAGATGCTTATCATGATATCAAAAATTCAGTTACTACTGTGCCTGCAGCATGCCCTTATGTCTCCTTACATTTACTGAAAGCTAGTAAAGTTTTTCTTTCACACAAAATATGCAATGTTAAATACAGTAAGTCTTTACATAGTTTAAAATAAGAGAGATTTACTTGTAATAATTAATTTCACAATTAAAAAGCATTTCTAACCTATACAATTTTAAATAAATCTTATTCTTAAAGATTATAAAAGTAGAATACTAGCAATAGAATTGTGTGTTCAGTAGTTATAAGATTCAGGCATTTATGTGGCAGCTAATAAAAAAATAATTTTGCATTTTTATTTTTAAAAAAGACTAGTTTTATTTAGTTCACTGTTACATTTTAAATTAGGGTGATGTACCTCTTTCATAAAATGTAAACAAATGCCCTCCAAAGCAGCAAATTGCCTAACAGTGTTGAGGATTGAAGTATGTTAGCAGCGTTGTACTTGATGTTTCTGTGATTTTAACGTCAGATTACTCTTGATTCATTTCCTTCAGCAAAGCACCACCCAGCCAGTGAGACACAAAAGATGGTAGAATCAGAGAAAGCAGCAGCAGAAGTACCGGAGGTCCAGGACCACAACCATAACCATGACCACTCAAAGTTACATGCCTACATTGGTGTTTCCCTTGTCCTTGGCTTTGTCTTTATGCTTTTGGTAGATCAGATTGGCAGTTCTCATGTCCATCCTGCAGATGGTAAGTCAAAGCTCCCTTTTATAGACAGTCAGATTATAAATAACAATGAGAGTCTTGAAATATGCAGGTAGTTGAATGAACATTTGAGTGTTCGCTGTTTTTGAATGGTCAGACTTAACTTTTTGTTTGACTGTGATAGCCATGCAGAAAATATGGGTGAGCATAGTGCACACTGAGGTTGAACTGTGTGGCATTTCTTTGCAACAAGATGTGGGGATTTTGAAGCAGAATAAAAATGGGTTTCTTCTGAGTGTGGTCATAGTGTTTGATAGCAAAATGTTTTCTCAAATACCTATATAGGAGAAGTGAAATAAATTAGAGGGAGAATTTTTAGCAAGATCATGTCTTCAGAGATTTTGGAATTTAATGGTGACCTAGCTGAGGACTGGAAGATGTGATTTTTTCAGTTCCACGCACAGATGTTAACATTTTAAATTTATATCAAGTTTTTTTTGTTTCCTGTAATAAAACATCTATATTTGATCAAATTGTAGAAAGTTTGCAAGCATTTTCTCCCAGAATAAATGTAATGTTCTGTCAAAAATACTGTTATGCAAGTTATGCCTACAAAAGGTAATGATGTCACTGGTAGGGGGAGATTTTTTTGTAAATTAGTCTTCCTCCTCCTGTCCTGCAGCTTGTCCAACTGAGTTGCACTTCAGTAGACTAAACTTTGTGGTATTTCTTTGAAACCGAAGTGGGTTTCATTGCATGGGAGCTACTGGATGGAAGAAGGTAATCTTTAGTTACAGAAAATCTCCCCTTGCTGTTGATGTCATCACCCTTATGCAACAGAATTTCAGCGGAATTATTGACATTGGACAAAATAATAACTATATGAAAACCAACATTTCCTATGTATAGGATAGATCCAGTCTGATTCACAGAAGTGCATGCCACAATCCTATTGCAGAATACTGTGTATACCTGTTTTCATATTTCATTAGTTGTCTGTCAAATATCTGGTCATGTATCTAGTCATTCTACTGATTACCCAATCAGAGGATGACTGGATGTGTAATAGAGAACACAGTGCCTCCAGCTGTTTGTCTGATTGCTTTTATGCAATTCCATAATGCAGTAGGATCCTGGCCATAGTGATTAGTGAAAATCCTGCTAGTACTATTGGCTGAGGTGTATCAGGTTGTGAAACAGAGGAAGGAATAATAGAAGAACTGAAATGAAGTGTCTTTCAAAATGTGCCAATGAAATGGACTAGTTTATTTTCCCCAGTTCTGAAATCAAGACTCTGAAATGGTGAACATGAGTTAACTCTTGAAATATTTCTTTTTTTAGGGTTTTCTACATACTTGCTTATAACATATTTGGCTAAGATTTCTTAATTATTTCAGACCCAGAAGCAGCAAGGACGGGCAATTCCAAAATTACTACCACACTGGGACTAGTTGTCCATGCTGCAGGTGAGTTGCTGTATTTGGCGGATTTTTGTACCATGGCTGCCAGGCCTCCAAGCTTACTGAGCATTGCCTGTGATGGACTACAAAAAACAGTGTGAGGGTGGGAGGTTCCAGCTGATACATATAATGTCCCCAGATACAAGGACTTCCCAAGTTTTCTTTGGAAGATGTACTCACAGCTACCATGTCCATTCCCTATACAGGGAGGCCAGAAACATTATTGATAATGAAAACTTTCAATTAGTGTAATAGTTATATGGAGAAGCAGGCAACATTTTGCCCACTAGATGCAAAAGTGCAACTCCTTTAGCCCTAATCAATCCAGATGGTGTCTGGGAATGAAAGGGAGCTTTTATTGTGACAGTAACCTTGAATTCCCCAGCTGTCTACCTAAAAAAGAATAAAATGACATCATATTGACTTTAACCTACAGAGAAATTTAAGGATGGAAACCAGAAAGAAATCTGGTGTGCTTTAGAACATACAGTAGTTTCATGACCCAGAGAATTAAACAGACTTGTGCATGTTGCCACTCAGAAGACTTCTTGTCTGTTCGTAATTCAAACCTGAAATTATTAATGTTTTATTGAAATTAAATATGTCTTCAGGGAAGGGAAAGACATTTAAGGTATAACAAAGTGATGTGTGAAGGGTGCGGGGACATTACAGATGCTTTCTTTATGCAAATTGGCTCCAATAAGCCTTTGATCACTGGATAGTTTCACTCTTACGTGGCTTGTTATTTACCTCCTTGTTAAGCTGATGGTGTTGCCTTGGGTGCAGCTGCTTCCACATCTCAGACCAGTGTCCAGCTAATAGTGTTTGTTGCAATTATGTTACATAAGGTAAGTTTGAGTGAAACCTTCATGCTTGTCTGACATACCTGCTTGATTGACTGTTTGGAATTCTAGATATGAATTAGCGAGATAAATTATTATTGAAAAATAGTATCACTTTGACATCCAGGCATTTTCCTGAAAAAAATTGTTTTTCTTAAATCCATACAAGATAAAGCATTCATTTTAGTAGTAATTATTATTAGTAGTAAATTTCTCTGGTTAGCACAAAAATGTTTTCTGGTAGCCAACTTGCCACAGATTCTGCTTTGGGCAACTCTCCTCAGAAATGGTTACCACAGAGCCAGAGTCCCTATCTTAGCCCCCACTCTGAGTTTCAGAGCCCCCCTACTAGACTTTCTCCCCGTGAGACAAGTCCTAGGAAGTTACCCACTCGTCCACTCAGACTCCCTGACTAAAGATCCTCTCTGGGCACCTTTCCAGACCAAGGCCTTACTGGACCACACTCGTATCCCACACGCTGGACGCCAATTATATGTAGCGGGCCACTCTGAAGCCTCTGCCAACTCAGGCCTCCAGGAGTGCTCGCTACTCCTCTTCAACTGCTGCCACCAAAGATTATTCAATATTCAAAAAGACAAGTGTTTCTTCCAAACAAAACTTGTTTATTGGTATAATAAAATAAAATAAGTAAATCACAGGTAGATAATCAAGTTGTAAATCACGGTTTCTCATTCACTAAATCAAACAGACTTTTCCCTCACTGACTATTTTGGCTCACAGGCCTTCAAACGTGCTAATCACTAACTCTCAATCTCTTTCCAATCTATCAAATTCTCTCCATCTCTCACCTCACACACCCCTATATATATTCCAGCTCCTCCCCCTTCTGCACCACCCTCCGTCCCCTCATTGGCTGATGTTCCACTGCCCAGCTGTGACGGACAGGTGAGAGCAGGGCTATATGTTACAATTATTATTCAAAAATAGTATCACTTTGACATCCAGGCATTTTCCTGAAAAAAAATGTTTTTCTTAAATCCATACAAGATAAAGCATTCATTTTAGTAGTAATTATTGGTTAGCACAAAAATGGCAAATCAGACTCCCAGTTTATCTAAACTACTGAACTACCCATATGCCACATTCTATTCAGACTTGCATTCAGTCTCATTTGTAAATTGGCATATGTGTCTTGTGTGGAGTTATGGCTGTTGTTAGAGAGTGCTTATCCATTTTCAGACCCTGTCTTCTAATTTTTGGTGGTCTTCATAATGACAGAAGTAGCAAATGGAAATGTTTTATTTTTTTTCTGAAGCATTCTAGCTTTTATGCGTGCAGCAGATGTATTGGATTTTTTTAGAGGAGGCCGAAATAAATGTGCATTTTGATTGTAAAGGCAGCTATGTGTTCCATCCCAGTCTGCAGAGGGAGATGTCACTTTTTATGTCACTAAATCAACTGCTAGTTATATATAATAGGGTTCCCTGATGTATGCATAAGTACATGAATGTTTCCATACACCCACACCAAGGAGAACCATGTATGCATGGAGGGAGAGGTGAAAGAACATTATTAAGCAGTTAAACTGATTCGGGATTGATTATGAGAATTGCAAATGGACAAGAAGTATGCAAAAGTCATTATGGCTTAAAATTTTTTCCTCACATCAGATTTTTACAGTTTCAGCTTCAATTCTCACTTAATTACAAATACATCCCTCTCTTATTTCTTCAATAATAATAATATTCTAAAAGGATTATTAAACTGTTCAGTTGGGATACCCAGTTTATCAACAAAAAAGGTAGGTGAATTGATAAGAGTTTCATAATATGGTTGGATCCCTACCTTCCTTAAATAAAAAGAAAAAAGTATCACCTTCAGCCATCTAGCAATGTTACAGTAAGCTCAAAAATGTGATTAAAATAAATTCTGAAGAATGCCTAAGAAAGAGGAAGGAAAAAAGTAACATAAGAAATGCCTTCCCTTCCTTCATACCTACTACCTTCCCTCATTCCTACTAGAGAACTTGAAGAGAAGTAACAGGAGACAAAATACAGTGGTGCCCCGCATAGCGACGATAATCTGTTCCGGATAAATTGACGCTATCAGGAAACGTCACTATACGTGGCAAAAAACCCCACAGGAACGCATTGAAACCCCTTCAATGCATTCCTATGGGGGATAAACTCATCGCTAAGTGGAAATCCTCCATAGGGCCACCATTTTCGCCACTTCGGTAAGTGAGGAATCGGCGCGAAAACTCTGCGTGTGGCCATTTTGTTGACACAGTGGCCATTTTGGAACCACCGATCAGCTGTTCTAAAACATCGCAATGCGAAGATCAGTAAGCGAAATGCTTACCGATCATCGCAATGCGATGTTTTCCCTATTTAAACATCGCAATGCGATCGCAAAATCCGCATCGCTATGCGGATTTGTCATTAAACAGGGCACTCGTTATGCGAGGCACCACTGTATATCTATAATGACTGTTCCAAAATTCCAGAATGGGGAGGGTTCTGAACTGTGAATAAAATAAACTGAAGCAAAATGTATTCACAACACATTTTTGGTAGAAATATTATTACATTTTTCTTATTATTTCCCTGGAAATAGAAGACCACTTTGTAGAATAATTTCCAAAATGTCTTCACCATTGTTGGTGGTGGTGGTGACTACCTTCCCGCCACCACCACCCTCCAGAATAACATAGATTAGAGGGCATTATAAAGTAGCAAAGCAGTGTCCATACTACCAGAACATTTCCTTTTGCTGCTACTTGCAGCAGCGATTAAACCAAAAATCCTTATGGGGGAAAGAACAAAATTGTCCTACAACCCCACTACAAATGATGAACTCTTTCTTAAGAAACTGTTGGAAAATATCTCCTTCCTTTGGAGAAATTCAGAAAAACTAAGTAGAAATTTTAGAGAAATTAAACAGGATCAGGTCTCTTTAGCAATTAGACAGGAAGCTACCAGGGAACACCAAGGGTAGCTGCCTGAATGAGTTGTTACGTTAATTTTGTTAGGGTGGGAATAGGTAAGAAACTGCCGACAATAAGACTTCTGAATAATTCAGTGGTTTATGCGAAGTATAAAGCCAATGGGTTTAGATGTGGAGACAGAGGTTGGGAGTTTGATTGTTCACTGTGCCTCCTTGACAATCAAATTGATTTGAATATCCATAGAGTCCCTTCCAGCTCTGCAGTTCTGAGATGATGATGAAACTGGAGAGCTAGTGCCAATCAGAGTTGACAGTACTGGACTTCATGGCCCAATGGTCTGACTCACTGTAAGGTGCCTTCCTACTGACCTGATATGAGTGAGCAGAAATACTGGACTAGATGGAAATTGAGGCTGATTTAGCATAGTATTTCTGATTGACCTATCCATATGTGATAACTAGGATTTGTTGCATTTTCAGTTTCGATTTTCATGTTTTTCAGAGTACATAAATAAATATGATTTAAAAACCAAGCATGGACGCTCAGTATAATACTGTATTGCTGTATTCTTGAAGGCTTTCACAGCCAGGATCCAATGGTTGTTATAGGTTTTCGGGCTGTCTGGCCGTGTTCTTGAGGTTTTTCTTCTTAATGTTTCGCCAGTCTCTGTGGTCAGCATCTTCAGAGGACAGAGGTTAGAACTCTGTGTTCTGGTGCAGTTTGTGGGATAGTTGAGTATTTATAGCTGTGCGATCAATTTTTTTTATCTTTTTCAGGAGATTGGGTGATTATGGTTATCAGCATGGGTTTTTTTTTGTTGTTGTTGTCGGTGTATTGTTATATATTAGAACCACAAAATGTGGCATCCACACCAGAATCAAAGAAAATGAGAGACACTGCAGACTGAAATCAGAAAAATCAGCAGTGGTTGAACATACAGTGGACCCTTTACTTACGGAATGAATCCATATTGGAACGGTGGCTGCAGGACGAAAAGTCTGTAGGTCGAGTCTCCATTGACCTACAATGCATTGAAAACGGATTAATCCCGTAACTGGCCGTTTTTGTTCCATTTTTGTTCCATTTTGGTTTTTTTCTGGTCTGTAGGTTGATTCTTTGGCTGCAAGTCGAACCTAAAGTTTGCGGCCAGAGAAGTCTAGCTCGAAAAGTCTGTAAGTCGAGCCGTCTGTAAGTCGGGGGTCTACTGTACCCTGAAACAAGCTGGACATGAAATTCTATTTCAAACCACAGAAGTACTGGACAACACCAGTAATCATTATGTTAGATTGCATAGGGAAGCCATTGAAATCCACAAACACCAGCAGAGCTTCAACAAAAAAGAAGAAAGTCTAAAACTCAACAAAACCTGGCTCCCAGCACTGAAAAACACAGCCTGCAAAAGATGAACAAACTACCCACCCATAAGGATCAGTGAACACTGCACACAAAAGACCAGCTGACGACACCCATCAGTCACAGTGACAGATCATCTCTTCCCCCTTATCACAACAATACACAACAAAAAAAACCACGCTAATCACCATAATCACCCAATCTCCTGAAGAGAGTTGATCCCACAACTATAAATACTCAGCTATCCCACAAACCGCACCAGAGCACAGACAGAATTCTGACTCCTGTCCTCTGAAGATGCCGAGCACAGAGACTGGTGAAACCTTAGAAAGAAAAACCTCAAGAACATGGCCAAACAGCCCCGAAAACCTTCAACACCATAATATTGCTGCCTTACCAGGAAATGTATTTTCATTTTAGAAGCTGGAATAGTCATTTCTGCTAATGTTTTAAAGGAAAGAGGGATTATTGAGAGAGTGATGGGAAACATTCAGAACTTATTTCTGAGAAATTAGGATGTTGAAGTATAAATAAACTTTAAATCAGGCCAACCTATCTCTGCTCTCCCCCAGACAATTATATTTTTACATTATTTCCCCTGCTACTTTCTCTCCCCGACATCAGATAACTAGTAGTTGCCTGAGAACAAGTCTTTAGCCAGATGCTTTTGATGACATTAAAAAAAAATCTACCTTCGCAGTCAGATCACTCCTTCATGCATAGAAACTCCTCTGATTTGCAAGGGGAAGTAGGACAGGATTCCATAGAAGTAGAGCAATGTGAGGTGGTTATGCCTAGTCCTGTTCTTGACCTGATATGAAGAATCTCATCATAGGTTATTTTCTTAATTTAAATATGGATGTCTTACTAATGCTTCGGGCTGAATTTAATCATTTTATTGTACTGAATTTTAATACGGGCTGAATTTCTTACTGGAGGTACCTAATGATCATTTTTAATGGTACTTTGCATACTTCCCATTATGAAAGGGGAATTCTACAAGAACAGAAGTTTTCCATCTTTTCAAACCAATGAGAGTGAGAACTGCTGATAGCTCAGTGGCTTAGGTATCTGGCTGTAGAGCTAAAGGTTGGGAGTTCAGTTCCTGACTGTGCCTCCTTGACAGGAGTGGAGGGCCTTCCAGCTCTGCAGTTCTAAGATTAAGATTAAAATTAAGATTAATAATAGTAGTAGTAGTAATAATAGTAGTAGTAGTAGTAGTAGTAACAACAACAACAACAATAATAACAATAATAAATAAATAAATAAAAATTATGTCGAACTGACTATTTTACATACTATTTAACCACCGCTTTGTGGTTATGATTATAGTTGTCATAGTTGGATTTATACCTGGTACTAAGCCAATGCTATACTGTGTATATATTGTGGGAACATCATAAATGCAGAGAAAAATGAAACATGCCATGGTTACGAGCTAGTAACATTTGGGCTGGCTAAACATTCCCTTTCACTGAACAAACAGTGATTGCAAACTCTTTTATAATTCTGCACCCTAAATCTTAAGGTTTTTTTTATCTTGTAGGCACCAGCTGCCTTTGGTCTTGTCTCATTTCTCATGCATGCTGGTCTTGAACGGAATCGAATCAGGAAGCACTTGCTAGTTTTTGCACTAGCAGCACCTCTCTTGTCAATGGTGACTTACTTGGGGTTAAGCAAGGTAAATCTCTTTTCAGGCCGAATTGCCCAGAACATGCTAGGAGCATGACAACCTGTGTTGTTTGTTTTCACCATCTATTTTTGTCTAAATACGTGTACAGTGGTGCCACGTTTAACGACGAATCCACATAGCGATGGAGATTTTGCGATTGCATTGTGATGTTCCCTATGGGGAAAAATCGCTTTGCGATGATCGCGGGGAAGCGATCATCGCAAATGCCCCATTTTCGCCCAGCTGATCGGCGGGGCTTCGGGATGATCACGGGGAAGCGCTTCCCCCCGAACATCTCGAAGCCCCACCGCTCAGCTGGGCGAAAATGCGGGCTTCAGGTTGATGGGGGAGAAGTGCTTCCCCCCCATCATCCCAAAGCCCTGCCGATCAGCTTGGCGAAAATGCGGGCTTCGGGATAATGGGGGGAAGCGCTTTTTTAATGCGTTTCTATGGGCTTTTAAAAATCACTTAGCGACTAAATCCCTTAACAACGTTTTTCCTGGAACGGATTAACGTCGCTAAGCGAGGCACCACTGTATTGAGGGAGTACATCTTGGTGCAAATGAAATATAGCTGAATTCTTCAGTGTTATATTTTTAGTGGATTTTCCCTTAGTAGGCCATTGTGCTGCAATTTAAAAGCATGAGTCATCTACAGACTGCAGTGCTTGCTAAAAACACAATAGTTCCTTGCATTAATATTATTAAAATATAAACCGATTAGGAATATAATGTGAATAGTCTAGGTACTGCCTTTGTGTGTGTGTGTGTGCGTGAGAGAGAGAGGGGGGGGTTAAAATATTTGAGGAGCAGTATAGGAAGTGGTCTGTCAAAGTAATTTGTTCCTCAGTGGGAGAAGTCATTTCAGAGAGCAATACTTTTTAGAATTGGCTTTGCATCTTTCAGTTGGCTAAGTAATTGAAGTATAATTTTAATATCTGTATTTAATCTCATTTGTTTTTTGTTTTGTTTTGTTTTATAGAGCAGTAAGATAGCACTTTCAGATGTCAATGCCACTGGAGTTGCCATGCTCTTCTCTGCTGGCACTTTTCTCTATGTTGCTACAGTTCATGTTCTCCCTGAAGTGGGTGGAATGGGACATAGCCATAAACCAGAATCAGCGGGAGGCAAAGGACTCAGCCGGCTGGAGGTAGCAGCGTTGGTTCTGGGCTGCTTGATTCCACTGATTTTGTCCATTGGACACCAACATTAGGAGCCCAAAGTCCAGTGGTGGCTTTCTCCATCTGGTGTGAACAGCAGTCTCATGTCAGTTGGTCTTTTATCATTTTCTCCCTACCCTGTTAAGCAGCCCATCTATTTCAAAGAGTTGATGAGGAGCATATTAAAAAAGGAGGAATTCTCTGAAAGGTTTTCGTATAACAAACGGTATCCTGATAGCCGGATATACATTCTGCAAAACTTCCCTTTTCTGAAGACACTTTAATTATGACTGCCCTATTCTCAGGGAAGATGGAACTTAAATATGATTTGGGAAGAACTTTGTGGCCCATTGTGAAATCATAGTTCAAGTATTCTCGATGTTGGCATTCACAGCTGACCTCTTTATATTAAATGATGCCTTTGAACATGTGGGACTACTATTCACCTTCTCAAGATGCTTCACGTGGTGACAGTGAAGAGAATCTATCTGATGAAGAAATGCTTATGGAATAAAGTCCGACATAAAATTTATACTAATGTAAGAGCTTAATAAGATTCTTGCTTTGAATTTCTAGGAAGCATATTTTGTACTCTTTGAGTGTTACAATCTGTACAATAGACTGGGGAAGCCATGTTCGGCTGAAAGTTAAGATTCGTTTGATTTAAGGAGTAACTGCTTGGACACTGTACCAAATTATATACAAAGGATTATTCTTTTAAAACAAAAAACATAGGGACTGGTGAGCAAGAATGAAAGATATCCAAAGCATCAACCTGTGCAAAAGCAGGAACTTAATATTTAATGTTGCCATAAGCAAGAAGCATTCTAAATAGTTGTAATCCTGTTTGAATTGAGCCTCTCTGAAATCATCCAGTAAACACTGGGTATAAGTGGACCTCTGAAATGCAGTGCCAGTGGCAGATGGCTTTACATGTAATAAATGCTGCATATTGACCTAGAATAATTTTTGCATTGTGAAATAAACGGGCAGCAACCTGACACATGCAAAGGCATGCAGAGTTTCTCGGAACCCAACTTTTTGTCCTCAGCTTTCAATCTTTGCTCCTGTTGCCAATTTAATCTATTAATAGTTGCTGTAGCTGTTTTTGCAAACCAGATAGAGTAAGTGAATTGGTTTCTTTAGCTAGATCTATTTTGTGTGACAGATCTTTTCCCTCTTTTTCAGTCTCTGCAACACAGCACAGCACAGCAATGGAGCTCTTGTTCACATTCCTTATTTGCTTGATGGAGAAAAATGTCATTCTCAGTGAGTGTTTTGTTAATTGGTAATTCCTGCTTGCTGATTTTTACAGCAGCAGTAATCAAGAACAAGACTTCACTGGGGATCTTGTGTTATGTATGGGAGGATTACTGTCAGAAATAAAAAAAAATAGGTACACATGTATGTTTTCCTGAAGGTTAATTATAAATTTAATCTATAATCAGTTTTATTTGTAAAACTAGCAAGCAAGTTGTCCACTGATGCATTCCACCAAGTGTAGCCTATGAACTATATAAGGGGTCCCATCAACAGCTTAGATAAACTGTGTGTGGGTTTTTAAATTCCTGTTTGAGATTTTAAGAACATAGGTTATAAAAGACCTGGCAGGCCACATCAGTCAGCGTGTCCAATGTGTTACATGTTATGTGGGCTTCCTTTATTGTTTCTCTAAAATAGTGCCGACTTTGAAAGGTATAAATCACTTCTTGATCAACTCAAATCATCTCCATGTTGCAAAATAAAAACTTATCGTTTCAGAAAGAAAACTTAGCTGTTATGCCACATGTATGAGCAAAAATAGCTTTTATGCATTATCATACCTGCATACTTGATAAATAAAGATGAGCTCTTGATAAATAATTATGCTCAAGGTGACATCTTACCCACAGCAGTGGATAAGGGGACAAGAATAGTGTTCCTGAGCTGGCAAAGAGGGAAATACAGGCAGCATGGGAATTTGGGGGTATATTAAAAAGTTGATCAGAAATTTTGCTTCTGTAGAAGCACTTGGTATGGGAGTGGAAGTTAAACTGTACTTGCAGTTTTGTTTTCCTAGGATTTTTAATTATTTCAGAGTGTATCTAAAACTGCCCATTAGAAAATTTGACCAAATGTTGCTTGTACTGGATCACTTCTGGCTTTTTCGCTCACAGGTCTTGAGTACAGTTGCATTTTAGGAAGACTGTTCTGAACTTCCGCCCATGACTTCTAAAGGACAGTGTCTAGAGTCAATATATTGCATGCACGTACACATAAAGCATGAGTGATGCAAGTCATGAGGCAGTATGCTGAAGGCTTGTGAGGCTCAAATATTGATTTATTACTATGTGTTAGCAAGGATGTGTTGAGTGTTTCATCTATGTTGAATTGCTAGCCAGTACTACAAAAAAGGATGGGAAGGAAAAGGGATTTTCTAAACATGAAGGGCATTCTCTAGTAGAGTACCAGATGTTTAATTTCTGTTATAGCCATGAGAATTCTTGCTTTGTAAAATCCTCTACCTTGAAGTAAATTAATATTTCTATGCCCCAGCCAAAGAATCATCATTTAAAATCGGGTCTTTTTGTCGTTTAACTCCAATCCCATTAGGTCTTATTAGTCAAATATAAACTCTAACCTTCACTGTCGAATTCTGGGAGCCATAGGCTACCAAGCGAGAGATCCATTATTTGTAACTTCTCGTAAGCTCCTGTACTTCCAGTGTTCACATGAGTTGAAAGTGGCAATCACCCTACTATCAATGTTTATCATGCAACATTATGTTTGGGCATATAATTGATTTTCCAAGGAGACTTGTTAATAAAAATTAAGGGATAACTTCTAAATGAGTTAAAGAAATGCCTCTATGGGTGGCAGGGGACACATATCAAAGTAACATAGATTCTCCAAATATGGAGTAACACTTGGAATTTCTGAAACGGTATTTTGAAATGACAGAAAATTAATTTAGTTTATTAGAAAGGGCCCAACAGTCTGTTTTTTCAGGTACACTCAATGATAGCTAGTTTGCATTCTTCATAGCTAGCTATCTGTATTGGAATGGGAAAACTTGAACTTGTGTATTGTGCTGCTGTGTTATGTTTTGTATGAGGAATCACAGGAGACTTGGGAAAACAATTTTAACGGTGACGTGCAGAAGTGGAATATCCATTTCAAAAGGAAATAAGTTTCAGTTATGTCTCTGAGCAGCTGTGGCTTTGTGGACATAATGTGCCCTGGTCACAGCTATATACACGATTCTGTGTACTAAAGTGTAATTTTAATGTATTTTCCAAATCATTTGTACACACATAATCATTCCATGGATGGCTGCCTTATTTTTGATTTTTTTTCCACTTTAATTGTGAAGTTTAAATATGTTTTTATTGTAATAAAAAGTTTGTTAGCTGAATTGCTGGAATAAATTGGCCTCATTGTTCATGAATGGTTATGCTGAAATGGAGTTAGCAGTTTTATACTCCAGAGGCCAAGCAAGGTTTTTTTTTTTAGATCCTTTTTCAATTTATGTAATAGCTTTAGGAGAGTCCTATGAAAAGCTCAAAACACTGTGTTTTGCACTGTCCAACATCTGAATGTACCATCATAAGGGTTGATTATTCCTTCCTACATGAGATTTTGCATTTTATTTACTAAATTTCCAAATGGTACTCAAGGCAGCTAAGAGTTCAAATGAAATTTCTAATTAAAAGATAGCACCCACCCCCTCCTAAAGGAAAGCACCTAGCTAGTGAAAAAATTAGCTTTGGTAAGATGACAAAACCCAGTCCAAATAAAAAGATTTTTGTTGTTGTTGTTTAGTCGTTAAGTTGTGTCCAGCCTCACAGAAGAGAGTCAAAGGAAAAACTTTGTCATGGAAATATACTTCTTCTGGGGAAGAATGACGAAGATCTCCTGGCCAGAAACAATGTGTGTGGGGGGGGGGTGCAGTACAATTTGGAGATGAATCATGGCCAGTGTTGCTTTCCCTCATGCCAGACCCCACCAACCTTTACCAACTGATCCAGAACGTTTGCCTCATCTGAGTAAGGTAAATATAAAGGTTCCCCTTGACATTTAGTCCAGCTGTGTCCGACTCTAGGGTGCGGTGCTCATCCCCCTTTCCAAGCCATAGAGCGAGCGTTTGTCCAAAGACAATTTCCGTGGTCATGTGGCCAGCGCAAATAGACACGGAACGCCGTTACCTTCCCACCGAGGTGGTACCCATTTATCTACTTGCATTTGCATGCTTTTGAACTGCTAGGTTGGCAGGAGCTGGGACAAGCAACGGGAGCTCACTCCGTCGTGTGGATTCAATCTTACGATAGCTGGTCTTCTGACCCTGCAGCACAGGGGCTTCTGTGGTTTAACCCGCAGCGCCTCCACGTCCCTCATCTAAATAGGCCCTGGGTTTAAAATATGAAGATATCAGTTCAGTTGAAGGTCTGGACTTTGACTGGGCCATTGCAACACCTTCTTTTCTTTTTCAGCCATTCTGCTGTAGATTTGCTGGTGTGTTTGGGATTGTTGTGCTGTTGCATGACCTATTTTTGGCCTGTTGGACAGATGGTCTCACATTTGACTCTAGAATACTTTAGTATATAGAGGAGTTCATGGTCGACTGACTGCAAGGTGCCCAGGTCCTGTGGCTGCAAAACAAGCCCAAATCATCACCCCTCTACAACCGTGCTTGACAGTTGGTATGAGCTGCTCGCGCTAATATGCTGTGTTTGGTTTTCCCCAAGTGTGATGTTGCGCGTTATGACCAAACATCTCTACTTTGGTCTCGTCTTCCAAAGGACCCTGTTCCAGAAGTCTTGTGGTTTGTCCAGATGCAACTTGGGAAACCTAAGCCATGCTGCCAGGTTCTTTTTAAAGAGAAGAGGCTTTCTTCTGGCAACCCTTCCATACAAACCATCCTTGTTCAGTCTTTTTCTAATTGTACTGTCATGAACTTTAATATTTATCATGCTAACTGAGGCCTGTAGAGTGTGAGATGTAACTCTTGGGTTTTTTGCAATTTCTCCGATAATTGCACTGTCTGACCTTGGGATGAATTTGCTTACTTGTCTGCTTCTGGGAAGATTGGCAACTATCTTGAATGTTTTCCACTTGAGAATGATCTTCCTCACTGTAGAAGAATGGACTTTCAATGGTTTGGAAATGGCCTTCTAACCCTTTCCTGATTGATGGGTAGCAACAATTATTCCCCTACTGTCATTGCTGATGTTTTCCCTCCTTTGTATTTATTGTTTTAACACACATTTGAATGCTTCAGACCAGCAAACTGGAAAAACCTTGACTTTTACAGAGGTGGTCATACTTGCTGATGATCAATTTTTCAAGGGCATTTACTTAGCAACACTCGGTTGCTACTTAGCCTCTTAATTCCTATGGAAGCAGTAAGATTGTACAGTGGACCCTTAACTTACAGACGGCTTGACTTACAGACTTTTTGAGTTACAGACTTCTCTGGCCGCAAAATTTAGGTTTGACTTGCAGACTGAGATTTGACTTACAGACCAGAAAAAAACCAAAATGGAACAAAAACGGCCTGTTATGGGATTAATCTGTTTTCAATGCACTGTAGGTCAATGGAGACTTGACTTACAGACTTTTTGACTTGAGAACTGCCTTCCAATACGGATTAAGTTCTCAAGTCAAGACCCCACTGTACTTAGTTTTTTACAGATGGCTTCTCCAGTTCGGCTTTATTTTTGTAAAATGAATCATGACATATGTCATGTGCTGTTGTTCATCTGAGGTTCGTCGTTTAGTCGTGTCCGACTCTTCGTGACCCCATGGACCAGAGCACGCCAGGCCCTCTTATCTTCCACTGCCTCCCAGAGTTGTGTCATATTCATGTTGGTTGCTTCGATGACACTGTCCAACCATCTCATCCTCTGTCGTCCCCTTCTCCTCCTGCATTCACACTTTCCCAACATCAGCGTCTTTTCCAAGGAGTCTTCTCTTCTCATGAGCTGCCAAATATTGACTGGTGTTAAACTCACATTCCAGTAGTTTTTGCCTTGGCTTTCGTGGTTGCAGTTGGCTATGCCTCCATAAGGTGGAGTATTCCCAAAAAGAAGATGTTTGTTCATACCATTGCTTTACTTGCGGGAATAAATACCATGTTTCCCTGAAAATAAGACAGGGTCTTAACTTTTGCTCCATAAACAGGACATATTTCCAGGGGATGTTTTTATATATGTATTTTCATGTACAACAATCTACATTCATTCAAATATAGTCATGTCATCTTCTGGTTACTGCACAATGGTGGAGGATGGAGTTTCACTTAACTGGGGTTTATTTTGGGTGTAGGGCTTATATTACGAGCATCCTGAGAAATCATATCAGGGCTTATTTTCAGGTTAGGTATTTTCAGGGAAACAGGGTAAGATGGATAAGAGAATCAGGACTGCATCCCTGGCTGGCTACATGTCCAACTTCATCCTTGTTCCGCATTGGCAAGATTTGGATTTCTGTTTTTTTTTCTTATATACATAAACTTTTACAGAAAACATCAGAGCTTTGTTGCTGATGAACACACAACATTCTTCCTCCTTCACAGAGCAGCATTAACTGGCAGCACATGCAAGCCATTATCTCAATGCCTTCTAGCACACAAATGTTCAGAGTAGCATGCCTGAAGGGTTGTTGTTACTTTATCTAGAAAGGCATTGTTCCTCCTGTAATGTGGAACATCCTTGTAATAACTATTGCTGTCAAGTCAATACTGATTTATGGTTACCTTCCCAGAATTTCTTCCTGTAAACTACTCAAAAATGGCCTACCAATCCATCCTTCTTGTGGCACTCTGGGACTATGGTTGCACTGGTGGCAGGGCATTTAATCCAATCACCCACACATATTTTGTGGGATTTTGTCTGGCCCCTTTCCCAAGAGGCAAAATCTTCCTGCCTTGGGGCTTTGCAGCCAGGTGCTTCATCCATTCAAGTACCTTAGCTCAGTGGTTCTTAACCTTGGGTTACTCAGGTGTTTTTGAACTGCAACTCCCAGAAACCCCGGCCAGCACAGCTGGTGGTGAAGGCTTCCGGGAGTTGCAGTCCAAAAACACTTGAGTAATCCAAGGTTAAGAACCACTGCCTTAGCTCATACTTAACTCTGAGATATTTTAAAGAGAATCTTAAGTCAACCCAGTTGATTCCCAAACCAGGGGTTGTTTGGTGGTTGTTATGTTCCATCAAGTTACCTCTGACTTATGGCGACCCTATGAGTGAGCAATGTCCAGAATATCTTTTCCTCAACAAGCCCTGCTCAGCTCTTGTGAACTCAACCCTGTGGCTTCCTTTAGGGAGTTAATCCATCTCATATTTAGCCTTCCTCTTTAACTGCTGCCTTCAACCTTTCCCAGCATTGTTGTCTTTTCCAGAGAATTCTGTTTCCTTCTGATGTGCCCAAAGTAAGACAGCCTCAACTTCAACATTTTTGCCCCCAAAGATCATTCAGGCTTGATTTGATCTAGGATCCATTTGTTTGTCTTTCTAGAAGTCCAGGATATCTGAAAAGCTCCCCTCCAGCGTCAAGGGTTGGTAACAAAGCACAAAAGCGAGGTTAAAGGAAAAACAAAAATATACATACTTTATTCAATTTATAGGGCACTGAAATTGGTTCCCCAGTCTTGAGTTGCACCAGCTAGTGCACAGAAATAGATTTTCACTCTGTAGCGGGCCACTCTGAAGCCTCTATCCACTCAGGCCTCCAGGAGTGCTCACTACTCTTCCTCTTCAACTGCTGCCACCAATTATAATCAATATTTTAAAAAGGACAAGTGTTTCTTCCAAAACAAAACTTGTTCATTGTTATAATAAAAAAATGAGTAAATCACAGGTAGATAATCAAGTTGTAAATCATTGTTTCTCATTCATTAAATCACACACAGACTTTTCCCTCACTATTTGGCTCACAGGCCTACTAACATGCTAATCACTAACTCTCTGTCTCTCAATCTCTCACACACCCCTTTTATATTTCAGCTCCTCCCCCTTCTGCACCACCCTCTGTCCCCTCATTGGCTGATGTTCCACTGCCCAGCTGTGACGGACAGGTGAGAGCAGGGCTGAATGTTACACACTCCACTCCACAAAGGTGTGAGACTTAGATTGTTGCTGGTAATTTTTGACACAAGTGTTGGAAGTCTGGGATGAGATAGAAGAGGGACCCCAATATTTGCTAATTTTGTCAAAGATACAGAATGTTCAGGTTTTTATGGGTCTTGTGGGAGGCATTGTCTCAACTATGAGCTATGTTATCTTCAGTGGTCCCCCTGCAGTATGGATGGTCCCAAAAATCTGTTTTGCATGCTATACTTGGCACAATGGTTATTTTTTCTTTGCCCATGTAACCATGTGATTTTCAGTTTCCTTATAAGCAACAACATGTCACATTAAG